ATTCACTTCAATTGGATGAGGTTGAGTTCAGAAAACATGCAATACCTAATTATGCTAAGCATCCACATTCCGCCAACCAATTCAAGCTCATAACCAGAAGGTATACCAGAGGAATTCGATCAATCAGATAAGCGAGTATTAGGGTGGCATGTGACAAAAAAACAAAAATACACAGAGAGAGAGAAACCCAACAAGGACCAACCATAAGATCATGCAAAAGCCTAAGACCCTTAACAATTGCAGCAGTTGGGTTGAGGTCTACCTCGACTATTATTCCAACTTTACTTCCATCTCATTTACCACCCAACCTCCACAACCTGTATCTCCACAAGTTGAAGGACCACATCACTTTGAGCTTCCAATTGAGGTTGTTAATATGCACACTGCAGATCAAGGTTCTGGTAATGGCTAGCACCTGACTGATATAAATGAGCAAGGAAGGCCACCAATGCCTGATCGTAATGATGTCACACACAAAAAAAAACAAAAAAAAGCTGGGCAGAACGTATATTCATCCAAAAATATGAGTATATATCCTACTTATACACCCACATGTGAAGGGCGACCAACCAGACCGCTTAGCTTTTGGCAAAAGTAGGAGCTGCTATGGCCCTGGAAAGTACTGCCCAGTTCAACCCCGAAGAAGACCAATCTCCTCTCTCTCTGTCTAAAATCTTTCATTTCTAGGCTCCACAATCTCCTCCTTCTATGTAATTCCTTTTGTGTCTACTCCCTTCGTGCTCCCTACTCTATCTCTATTTCCGTCTCCACCTCTTACCTACTCACAACTTTTTGGCACCGTGGGACTGTACAAACTGTAATTTGTGACCACAACAGTTCCACCTTTTTTTGGTGGGGCATACCCAAATTTTGTTATTACTTGTACCTGAGCCCCAGAAGTGAGCTGCCAATATTTTGACGACAGATCTGGAGTAACATTCTATATTATATTAATATCGTCATATATTTCTCCAAAAAACTGAAAATATCCTACTTATGCATCCAAAGAAATTGTCATTAATTTGGCCGTGTATTCATGTGGTGTTTAATTGGAATTATTGGTCAGGGATAATACAAAGACTGGCAAAACATATTATTTTCAAGTTTTGAATGGTTTATACCATGTATAATATTTTTTCCATGGGACAAAAATACCCCGGTTCAAATCCTAGCAGTAAGGAATCTAAAAATCTGACGGGAAGGGAATAGGATAACAGGGAGGGAATAGGATAGGATTATACGACCAGGGGATTTTAATGACATTCAGAGGCTTTTGGGAGTGTCCAGAAAAACAGGGTTTCACTTCTAAATTTGAAGGTGCATATTGCCCAAAATAGGGGGGTTGAGGGAATCTCATATATTTCCATAAAATGTACAGAGCATCTGCCTCTTCAAAATCTGCTGAGCAGAGCCCTATGGCTCATGTACTGGGAGTAGAATAACATTAATATACATACCATGAGAGAAGAAAGATGCCATAATGAAATAATCTGAGTGAAAAACTCAGTGGGACTTTGAGGAATAACTTCACAATGGAAGAGAATGTACGCTATCAATCCATATGATGACTTCACTGTAGAAGGGATGAACCTTTCCAAGATTGTAGTTCCTAATATGCGCATAATTTGTCAAATTAATACATAAAAGGTTCCCACAGTTCTCCGAGGACAATTCATGTGAATGAAATAATTTTTGAGTGTATCATGCAAGGGAAATTAACATTTTCCATGAATCTAATCTAGCAATTTATAATTGTTCTCTGAAAACAGTAGGGGAATGGATGGCTGATGAAAGCCATTCCATAGCAGATTCGTGCTGAAGTTGCACACAGGGGTGATCCCAAACTGGTAGCTAAAACCGAGGTCCAAAATATAGCCTCTAAAAGGAATTACAAACCATGAGTGTCCGTAGGGAAGCCTCTGGTGAAGCAAGATGACAAGGCTCGCTATGGCCATGGGCGATGTGACTTAGTAGGAAAGGGTGTTCTAACTTCTTAGGGCTAAATGGCCATCGCAACAATGGGGGGACAATAACCCAAATTAGCTCCAGGAACCAGAGAGAGCCCAACTCAGTCCACCTGGCAATCCCGAGTTGACCTGGCAAGTTTCGTCAAGGTCCACAGAACAAGAGAAGCCAAAAAAACTGTAAAATAGTGAAAAATCAGGAAATATCCAGAAAAGGAAATTTTTTAAAAAAGTTCAGGAATATTATATGAAGTGGAGCAATCATAAATCAACAATTTGCATATGTCTACAGAGTAGCTTTCATATCTTTATCATATTTGGCATAGACATGATGAAAAGATAATGTTAACACCCAATGATTCTATAATTTCTATTGCAAACTTTGGTGACCCCATCTTTCGATTTCCAACATTATATTTCAGGATCCTCAAATTCCCCAAGCTAAAACCCCTTAAACTACCCTTGAGAATGGATTTTAGATCTACTTGATCCAAAGATCTCAAAATTTTTACCTAAACATTAAATCAAAATTTCAAATAGCAGATTGCAGTGTTTCGAGCATTCTTTTTTTTAAATACAAGCCTGGTTCTTGATAGATAATGCAAAACTAGCCCCAAATGCAAAATTTCAAGGCCTGAGAAGCTTTGGTTGGCAAAACAATGGAAGAAAGGGGTTTCGCATTTAGGGTTGAAATTTTTCGGACTCGGTCAAGACTCAGGGACATGCCCAAGTCCGATAGAAAATTGACAAGGTTTGCACAGTGACCCCGGCGGTTCTATCAACTTAGGGTGCCCAGCGAGTTAGAAGCCCTCCAGAACTAGCAGGCCACGAATTCCACTTGACTAGCCCAAGCCCAAGTCCAACTCGGTGAGTTTTTAAAACATTAATGAGTGCTAAATGACAAATCATTAGTAGCCCTCCTAAAATTGCTTTTGTCTATCTCCTTGTTGCCATGACTTAAAGACCTCGTATTTGCAGCTCCGGAGGTGACACTCATTTCAGATAGACCTGCTGGTTGAGAGATTAAAGTAGTACCAGCCAACTATGAGTATTACATCAGTTTCATAAATCAATGGCTCTACGAGGCAAACATAGAAGTGTGTCAGTAGATGTACAAGAATCCCCAGTGCAATAAAAACCTCCATAACTTCTTGACTAGATTTCAAAACAACATAGTTTTTCCCTCCAAGTTCGAAATGAAATGGGCTCCATCAACAGTGGTTTTTGACCTATGATCAGAGTTACCATAACTACATGGCCTATGGCTGTCACATGTTGACATGTGGAGACACTTGGTAACATATTAAATATTAAAAATTAGATAGAGTGATGTGGGGGGTTTGAACGTTGCTCATCTTGAACTCGTCCCATGAGTTCTTCCACTAATATTCATCAATTTATTAGGTGACATAGAATGAAAAATATATTATAGAGTACATAAAATATTTGTTAATAGAAAACAAATGCATAGACGTATCTAGCTGTATCGGCTTTTTCAGCTGAGTTCTAGACACAACACTTATAGACACCACAGCCATGTCAGTGCCCATGTAACACAGCCTATCATAGGGCATTTCCCATTTTGAAGCATTGGTACTAGCCATAGTTATTATAACTAGATCCTACCAAGAAAGTGCAGATTCACTCAACCATGTCCATATGTCAGTTGTGTAGCAAGCCCAAAAAATTGCTGGGACAAAGCCATGGTCATATTTCTTACAAATAGCCCAACAATAAAAGCACTCCCATGCATTACATGGATACGGATATCTATTCGTGTCTGGACCTGGCATATTGTTTCTGAGACAGCTATACCAAAATAGCATCTCAGACCCAGCAGGTCTTTAAATGATGAAGTGTCAACATGTGCATGTGTCTGTACTTACATATTTCTATATGAAATTAAATTATTTTTATCAGCATATTAATTAAAATATTAACTAAATAAAATAAAAGAAACTAAAAGAAATAAATGTATCTCGAATGTATGTGTGTCTAAATCATGGGCTTGTGTCTAAAATAAGGGGACACGTGTCCAAATATCTGATATAAGTGTAGATGCTTGATATGCAGAGCCTCGTGTATCTAACAAAAAGAAGATTGAAATAAACTTTGTAATGCTGGCCAGAAGCAACATTTGGGGAGTCTGGAGCATCGCCACGTGGCAGCTAGGGTGCCAGAGTCAGACATGCCAAAATATGTCCTAGACATATGTTTGTCACGTTGCTTAAGCAAGGGTCTGCATTGAAAAATTTTGGAGCATTGAAAAATTTTGGAGCCCATCCTAGAGGTAGGAAATTCCAAAACACTCAACAAATGGATCTGACTTCTCCCATATCAGAAAGTATGACTGTATAGCAAGGCTTTATGTTCTTTTTTCCTAGCAAGATACCATCTCATCCAAAGATATTACAATATTTTCCATTTCAGCTGCCCAAACATAAAGAATTGTTGCAAGTGGTTTTATGCAAATGTGAACCTAAAAAACGTACCCAACTCCAATGCTTCATAAGGGCAAGGGCAAATGGTGGCAGCTGTGAGCCTTCTAGTTATAGACAACAAAGACCCTCCTGAGTCTTTTACATCAGCTCAATTCCATATGATAATGAACAACGTATATCAAACAAAGTGAAATAAGAAAAAATATTGAAAACAATCAGATCATGTCCAGATAAGATTTATCGCATAAATATTCAAAATTACTTTAGGTATGCCATTTAATATCAACACAGAGATCGTGTATGCCCTGAAACAGTAGAAAAGCTGACATCACCTTTGTATCATGGTCTACTCGTGTAGGAGTCAAGATACCACATTCGATTCTCCAAAGGAAGTAATACTCAATGTTTAGCCCCAAATGACCCATGACCCATGACCCATATTCATACACTTACAAAGCAGGTATCATCATGCTAAAACAAATAACAGAGAAGAAAGAAGATAAGCACAAATGAAAACTAAACGAGAAAAAAAAAAGGTTAGTCATGGACTTTCTTGTTTGCTGATCACTTACCAGTCATAATATGGACACAAGGATTACAACATAAATGTATAAGATATCATAACAAACTCAAGTTTACCCAAGTTTGAATATCAAAATGCAACCCAGTATTGTCCAAAAAGAGAAAAAAAAAAGAAAAAGAAAAAAGAAAATGCAACCCAGTACTTAGTATACCCACTCCAAATGAGCTTCTTTTAAACAGAAAACCATGGAACCACTAAGTTGGGATTACTTTACAGCTAGAAAATCATTCAACATACTACCCAGAGTAAGCATTTACATAGTAGTGTATCAAAACAGATAAAGAAAAAATAAAAGAGGGGACAATGCCTCAGGATAACGAGCTGTACACACACATCAGCCATTGCGCTGGCTCCATCACTACTAGACAGGTGGAATGTTGGAGAAGGAGAATCCTTTGTAACCCTTGTAAGCATAATATGCAATCCTTGTATAATAAAACCCCGGTATAAATAGAAGAGAACCCAAAATTGAGAAAAAGAAGCCTGCAAAAGTAGAAAAAAATAGCTAAAATAACTTTTTTTATTTATTTTGATATAAAGCTAAACTAACTTAAGCAGAATAAAATTGCATAATGGTGAAAGAGGAGAGAGGAATAGAATGAAGACTCAAGGACTGAAATCACAGGTCAATCTTTATGGAACCTAATGGAAAGATCCCCTTCTACAAATTGTAATTACAAGTTTACAATTTTTCTAGATACAAAAGTAGAAAGAGAAACAGATTTTGAACAAGTTAAATATCTAAAATAGATAAACAAATGCAGCCGTTTAACTAGCCTCAGTTTTGAATATAATTGTAGATAATCATCACAACCACATCACCAGAATATAAAAAATAAATGAAAATGATAGTATCCAGATCGTAGTAATCTCTGTGATAAGTGATATCTTTATTGAAAAAAACAGTATAATTCATGGATCAATCTCTAAAACGCTCCTCAAAAACCCTAGGTGCAAATTTTCAACAAGCAACACCAAATCAACACCATAATCAACGAAAAAACACAGTAATCTAGAGCAGAACAATCTGAATGATCCTAGTACATAAAAACTATGAAAATTACCATGAGCTCTGTCGCCTCCAACTCTGTTATAAGCCATAAAAATCCCCACTATGATCCCTAGGGTTCCAAATATCAGTAAAGACACAGCTAGGGCAATCTCCTTGATAGGGGGCCTATTGTGAGCAACATAAGAAGGACCATTGATATCTTCATCTGTAATCGAGAAGGCATGATCAACATACGCCATTAGAGGATAAAACTTGAAAGTTTTTAGGGTTTTCACAGAAGAATTGGGGTTTGAGAAGCTGATTTTTTTAGGGTTTTCCTTGAATTCGTGTGAGGAGCCCCTGGTTTTTGAAACAGAGTCGGATAAATGAAAAAGTCCCAAAAGGGAAGAAGACGGGGAAGTAAGACTTTCACGGAGTATTATTTATACGTGGTTTTTGGGATTGCTTACGGAGCGGGCATGTAGTGTTAACGATGACGTACTAAAAGCCTGTTGAACAAAGACAAGGGACTTAGCACTAGCGTTTAATTAAGAAACTCTAATTGCATTTAATTAAGAGACCTCTAATTGTTCGTCTCTATGTCCAGTATATATGAACATGAAAAAAAAAATTCAATTAAATTTTGAGTCCAGTTTTTTCTATGTCATACAACTTGCTGTGGAGATGATCAATTTGAGAATATTTTGGCATCAAAACAACCTGTTCCTGTAAACTTTTTGTTGTAGGCTCCAATTTAATTGTTTAGAACCTCGGCTCTATATAAACTTTTCCTCATAAATAATGTATCTTGCAACATATTATCTAGAAATCTATTTTCAATATTTTCATATATGTATATATCTACTTGATTTTAACCATTTTTAAAATAAATTAAGGGGTGACAACCGGTCGGGTCCACTAGACCCAAACTTGAATAGTATTTGGATTTAAAAGTTGGACCCATACCTTTGTTGTTGGGTCCATTGCCACCTTATAACTATGAGTTTTTTTTTTTTTGTCATTTTTTTTTACCATCATATACCCATATTATTGACAACATTTACAGTATTGCACAACATAAAATTCTTTCATGCGGGCTGGACCACATTTATACATATGCAGTCCAAAAGTGTAAAGCATCCATCTTAAAGATGGATGCAAATATGTGATCCATCTAAAACCAATTGAAACTAACGGTCCAAATGTTTTCTTAATATAATTATTATTTATAGTTTTAATTTTTTATTTATTTATTCATATTCTTGATCTTCATATTAGAGATTACATATCCTTGAAATTTAAGTCTAAAAATCCATCTCAAATATATATTTATTAAGGGGCCCGCATTTCTACATGTGCGGGCTTAGCCTGCCCACTAACTGCATCCTTGCGCGACATTTATGAATACCCAAATAACTCACATTCCTTATTGTTTTAGGTAATAATTGAAAATTCCTAAGAAACAAATGTATTGGCAACATTTATGAATATTGACATAACATATACTCATATTATTTGGGTCAGGTACGGGTCAGGTCTGGCTGGACCCAGACCTACCTTTCGGGTCCAAAATTTGAAACCCAAAATTGAAGTTCGGTCTATCCATCATATCCCGGTTGTTGTTGTGTCAATTGCCACCCTATTTAATTTAGGGTGTGGTATGTATAAGGCTAAGGTCCTAAAGAATCAAAGTAAGACGCATCTTCAAACAGTATCGAAATAATATTATAAATCTTTGTGATGATCCAGAAGTTTTTTTTTTTATAATTATAAAATTCAAATACTAAAAACTATTGTATATTAAGTAGATCTACGAAGACTTTAAAATCTTGAAAATTGATGGTCTAGATGATACAGTACAAGATACACTGTTTCCAATACTTGAAATATAATTTTTTCTATGTCCAAATGTCTTGAGGTTGAGATAATCGAATTGAGGGCTTTTCAGCATCAAACTGTTGGAAATATGACCTACTAGGTCCATTTATCCTGAGAATTTATTTTTCAATAATGGTACAAACGCCACATTGTATAGTATATGTGAAATCTCTTGTGGTTGACATTAGGCAATGCCATATACTATGATCCATTTTGGATCTTTTATAAGATGTTGCACTGGAGGAGAAACCCAATGATGTGTTTGGATTTTTTATAATAATTGTTTTTTTTTATATTATAGATGTACACAAATTTTTAATTTCTAAATATCTTTTATCAAATTGTAGGAATGCTTTGATGACATCGTATTATATTAGTAATTAGTACACTAATGACAGGTTTAACTCACTATAAATGATTAATAGTTTGATGACAACTTGTTAATCATAATTGGGTGCACTAAAGGGAATTAAGGCAAGAGTTATACTTGGATCCCAATTTCTATAGACAATGAATATGAGAGTTACAAAATATGGTTATGTATAAAAAGAGGTTAACCCCTAAAGTAATAGTACATAGAGAATGATGGAAAATTGGTGAAAGAGATTCACTAAGAGGACTCTCAAGGTAACCTATCACCGGATGGCTTGGTCTATAGGTTTTAATAAAGAACTTTAAATCCCTCATTCGATTTAATGACAGATCCGAGTAAGTTGTTTATCAATTTTATTTATGTATATATTGATTTTCATTATTGGGACTAACAATGGTATCGAAGCCAAGTTGTAAATCGGTTTTCAAATGCAACTTATTTGATCATTTTTTTAAAAAACAACAACAATAAAAAAGGAAATAGTTTACATAGTGCCGAGGCTCTAAACAATCAAATTAGAGCATACCTACAAAATTTCACTAGAAAATGTTGTTTTGATGATCAAATGTCCTCAAATTGATCATCTGGACATCAAGATGCATGAACATGAGAAAAAACATGGATTTCAAGTTTTTAAAATGGTGTATTTTATTACAAATTTGTGGATTGTCAATTTTTAAGATTTTTAAGTTTTCATAGACTTGTGATTGTTCACAAGAATGAAAAGAGTGTATGTTTCAAAATTTGGATTAAACAAATAGCCATAAGATGATTTCTTTAAGGTTATTGCAGCATATTACTATACAACGGTTGCATGAAATCATTGCTCTAAATTTTGAGCAATGATCAACTGCAACAGTTGTATTATAGTATAATACAACGACAATTTTAGAAAACCATGTTTCTCGTATTTGTATGACCCAAAATTTTGCACATACACTCTTTTCATCTCAATAATCAATCCCCCCCAAAAAAGAGTTCAATTTGAACACTAGATATGGTCAAAAAGAGTCCCCTCAAAAAATGAATCTAGACCATTCATTTTATAAATTTCAAGATCTCAACTTTTATAAACTCAAAATGATTTTTTTTCTTTTTTAACATTATTCATCTAATGATAATAAAGCCATCCCAAAAAATTAGAAATGAAATAATCTTTCTAAGGCCCAGATCTAGGCATCTCACCAAAATGAACATCATATGTTAATTGGGCTAAACCATATTTTCTAGGTTGTGTTTTCAATTTTTTATTTTTTTGTGATTATTCATTAGAATGAAAATAGTGTATATTTCAAAAATTGGGTTAAACAAATGGGCATCAGATGGTTTGTTAAGGTTATTGCATCATATTATTATTCAACGGTTGTATGAAATCATTGCTCTTAAACTTTATAAATAAAAATAAAAATATATTTTAAAACTATCACAAAGATTTTGATTATTGAAACCACATTTCTTGATACTATTTGAAAATAGACTATAATTTGATTTGTTAGAGAGCTTGGGTTCTATACAAACCGCACCTATAATAAAATCGGGGCTATTTTTTTTTTCTGTCCTTTTATCAGTAATTTTCTTATACTATTATTACAAATTATTATAATGCTATTTATTGTTCAAAATCAAAGTCCTTATGGCCTTTCTGTCCATTGTTTAAGGCTCCCATAAAAAACTCCCCATCTTGTAACTCCCGTAAAAAAGAAAAACAGAAGGAAAAATGTACTGCTCCTTTCCTTTCTCTTTAAAACTTTCGTTACAGAGGAGAGATTTTAGGCGTTATCCGAACCATATCTCTTCGTTACAGAGGAGAGATTTTAGACATAGATCTGACCCATATCACTGTCAAAACTAGAGGCCTAGTCTCTTGCCCCATCTTCTCTCCCTTGATACATCAAAAGGGAGAGATTTTATCCTCCTGTTTTATTGACAAATAAAGATTCAAAATTACTCTACCGATTTTGAGGATTCAAGGAGGGCGAAGTAGGTAAGTTTTATTTTCTGGTTTCATTCTATCTTTATCTTGAACGGATTTTTTTTAACGGCTATGTTTTTCTCTCTAACAGTAACTATATTGAGCCAAAAGATGCGTCACTTTCTCCTGTTTTTTTCGCAATTGCTATTTCAATGGAGAAAGGTCTGCTTTCTTTCAGTTTTTTTTTTACTCCCTAAGGGTTTGCCCAATTTTTGAATGAGGGAAGAGAAGAAACAGAAAAATGGGACCTTTTATTTTTTTAACACGAATGACTGTTATCCGGTTAATTAAGCACAGATCATGGCCCCCAAAATTTGGTAACAGGCATCCATGACCAATGGTAATTTTTTTTTTTAATTTTCTTCCTTTTTTGGCTGTTGTGATGCACTACAAAAGAATGGGCTAAACCTTAAACGGGAATCAATCTTTCAACTCATTTTTTTCCCTTTGTGAGATACTGGTTATTCTCCTCTCTTGCTCATATATCTTTTTTTGTTGTTGTTTATTATCCCTATTTCTTTATTATCCTTTTTTGTATTTTTTCTTTCCCAATTCTAAAGAGAATTATCTACTTGAACTCGATATACTGCTGTTTGTTTGCAATTTGGGTATTTTCTGATGAGAAGGTTTGGAAGAATTATTGATTGAGCTGGATTCACATCGAGGCTTCTTCCATTCATATTTTTTCTCTTGAGCTCTATTCTTGATAGTCCATACTATCGCCTAGTGAGATCGCAACTATAAACTAGATTTAATTTTTTTCTTGGTCTGTATTTTTTATCATGATGGATCTTAAACTAGAATTGAATATGAAAAAACTCAATGGGCTGAATTATAATACGTGGAAAAGAAGATTAGCCTTAATCTTAGAGCATGAAAATTTAGATCATATTATTTCAACTATGCTTCCTACTGAGCCCACTAATGTTAACAATAGGGCAGGAAGATCAGCTTATGCTAATCAGGAAATAAGAAAATAAGAGGTGTAGGAACATAATTTTGAAAAACATGGACGATGAATTATTATAGAGTTTTGATGCATTTAAAAATGCCAAAGATATTTATGATGAATTGGAGATACTATTTGGAGTGACTTCAATGAGTAATTTAAGAGTATTGACTCAATAGTACTATTATTTTAAGATGAAGGAAAATGACTCTGTGGTTGAATATGTTAGGAAAATGATTTTGCTGGGCAAACGACTTATAAGTGCGAGTTATGCTTTGAATGATCAACA